GGCATGCAAGGCAAGCGCTCTACCACTGAGCCACCTTCCCAGCCCCCCCCCCATGGATTATTTTGCCTGGGCTAGCTTTGGATCTTTATCTCCTGGGTCTCATCTTCCTATATAGCTAGGATTACAGGCCTGAAACACTACCAGAGCCCAGCTCAGGAAATCTGATTTTTGTTTGAAACATGTTGTTCTGGCTTCAGTATAGTAAACATATTTAAATTGAGTGGTAGAGAAACTAAAAGAACAAGCAGTAAGAGGTAACATTGTTCAGAAAGAAACGTACTCTTTACCTGACTTATGCAACTGTAACCCCTCTGTGTATCACCTTTACAATAACAACAACAAAAAGTTAAAAACAACAACAACAAAAGAACAAGCAGGACCAGGTGCTGGTGGCTCACCCCTGTAATCACAGCTACTCTGGTGGCTGAAATCTGAGGATTGCAGTTCAAAACCAGCCTGGGCATGAAAGTCTGTGATACCCTTATCTCCAATTAACTACCAAAAACAGGAAGTGGAGCTGTTGACTCAAAGTGGGTAGAATGCTAGCTTTAAGCAAAAAAAAAAAAGCCTCAGCACCATCACCCACAGACCAACAATGACAAAAAAAAGACAGCTATTCTTTCACATGTGTTAACAGTAACAATGTATTTCCGAGAGGAAGGGTAGGGTTGGGAGGAATAGGAGAGAATGATGGAAGAGATGATATTAATCAAAATGCATTGAATTTATAAAGTGATTTTTGAATGGTAACATAAAAAAGTAATCGAAAATATAATATTAAAAACAATGCTGGACACTGGTGGCTCATAGCTACTCAGGAGGCTGAGATCTGTGAGGATCATGGTTCAAAGCCAGCTTCCAGCAGTCAGAGTGTATTTCAAGCTTTGGACTATTTATGGTCTCTGACCCATATCCTAATTCACTCTTTTTTAAAAAAAAATTATTGGATAGACATCATATTATTTGTTCACTCTCCTTCTCCTTTCTCCTTCTTTCTCTCTCTTTCCAGTACTAAAGCTTGAACTTCAGGCCTTGTTTTTTTTTTTTTTTGGTCCAGTCATGGGGCCTGAACTCTGGGCCTGGGCACTGTCCCTCAGCTCTTCAGCTCAAGGCTAGCACTCTACCATTTGAGCCACAGTGCCACTTCTGGCTTTTTTTTTTTCTGCTTATGTGGTGCTGAGGAATTGAACCTAGGGCCTCCTGCATGCAAGGCAAGCCCTCAGGCCTTGCTTTCTTGCTTGTCTTTTCCTCTGAAGGCTCACACTCACTTGAGCCACAGCTGTACTTCTGGCTTTTTGATGGATAACCGGAGACAAGAGTCTGTATTGGCTGGTTTTGCTGTGGGATTCTCAGATTTGCCCTCATGAATAGGTAGGATTACATATATGAGCCACCAGAGCCCAGCTTCTCTCAATCTTTCAAACACAACCTTTATAAGAATTGGAACATCCTGCCCTTAGGTTATATAAGCCTGCTAAAATCATATGGTACACAATGTGATAGACACGATGGCTTCTTTTTTTTTTTAATTGTGAAAATACTGTACACAGGGGTTACAACTACATGGCTGATTGGCTTTCTAAAGCCCATCTTCCTGTAGAGATAATTCTGTATGAACTACAAATTATAATATTCACATGGCCCTTGACAGGAATTCCTAACTAGCTTGTAAGTACACTCTTTTGGTATATGGACTAGAATATGATAGTGGCAATGAAACTTGGTCACATTTGCTTTTGTTTTTGTTTCTTTGTTTAATGCCTTTACTACTGCTTGAACTCAGGGAACTGGTTTTGGCCCTTAGCTTTTTCTGTTCAACTAGCTGTACCACTTGAACCATACCTCCACTTCCTATTTTTTTTTTTTTAGTGGTGCTTGGATTGGGGGCCTAGAAAGTAGCACCAGTTGAGTAAGAGCTCTCTTACCCTCCTATACCCCAAGCCCTACCTTACCTTGAAAACCTAATTCACAGTTAATTTTTGTCAGAGTCACCTTCCTGCCTATTCTGCTTTTAGCCCACAAGACTTTCACCTTCCATCTTAGCTTCCATCTCCTACATCACCTTCCATCCAGCTTCAGTCACAGGATTCCTGTCATGCTGTTATACACTTGCTGCATGGGAACAGTTTGTCTCTCCTAAGGTAAGGAACTCTTTGAACTTGGGTCTATGTGGTAACCATGGTTAGGAGAAATGCAAAGCAGGGCTAGTTGTTGCATAACTAGGTGGTGTGTCAGCTGAATTCTAAATTCTTCCATATTTCTTCCATGCCTGCTCCCACCACACTTTTTTTTTTTTTTTTGCTGGTTGTCTCTGGGCTCCTTTTGCTCAAGGCTAGCACTCTACCACTTTGAGCCACAGCGCCACTTGTGGCTTTTTCATTTACATGGTACTCAGGAATCAAACCCAGGGCTTCATGCATGCTAGGCAAGCACTCTACCACTAGGCCACATTCTCAGCCTTGTCCTGAATGTTGTGACCACATATTCCTGGAAAGATTTGTACAAGCCAATAAACAACCACCTTGGCAAAATATTGAGACACTGACCATCCCAGCAACTTCCTGAAATAGCCAGTTGAACTAAAGCTACAAAATGTCATCAGTCTTTCTTTTTCTTTCTCTCTCTCTTTCTTTTTTGGTCGAACTCTGGGCTTGGGCGCTGTCCCTGTACTCTTCAGCTCAAGGTGAGCGCTCTACCGCTTGAGCTACAGCGCCACTCCCAGTTTTCTAGTGGTTTATTGGAGATAAGAGTCTCTTGGACTTTCATGCCCAGGCTGGCTTTGAACCGTGATCCTCAGATCTCAGCCTCCTGAGTAGCTAGGATTACAGGCGTGAGCCACCTGTGTCCGGCTTTCCTTCATCTCTTTCTTTCCTTTGTCAGTACAGAGTAGCTCTCCTCTTCTTCCTCTTTCTCCTCTTCCTCCCCATTTTTTTTTGTTTTTTTGGTTGTGGGGCCTGAACTCTGGGCCTGGGTACTGTCCCTCAGCTCTTCGACTCAAGGCTAGTGCTCTACCACATGAGCCACAGGACTACTTTTGGCTTTTTCTGCTTACGTGGTGCTGAGGAATTGATCCCAGGACCTCATGCATTGAAAGGCAAGCACTCTACCACTGAGCCACCTTCCCAGCCCCCTCCCAAATATTTGCTTGCTATTTCCAAGTTAGTGATAATCCCTGCCTTCCTGGAATCTAGGGAGTGAACATAAAATTCTTCCCAACTTTTTAGTTATCTTTTAAATTTTATTTTTATTTATTTATTTATTTTTTGTCAGTGATGGAGCTTGAACTCCCGGCTTGGGTGCTGTGCCTGCACTCTTCAGCTCAAGGTGAGCACTCTACTGCTTGTGCCACAGTGCTACTTCTGGTTTTCTAGTGGTTTATTGGAGATAAGAGTCTCACGGATTTTCCTGCCCGGGCTGGCTTTGAACCTCAATCCTCAGATCTCAGCCTCCTGAGTAGCTAGGATTACAGGCATGAGCCACGGGTACCTGGTCTTTTTACTTATTAATCAAGCCCAGAGTCTTCTAAATTGGATGGAAGCTTTAGTTTGCACTAGTTAACATTTCTGCATGTTTTTCCTACATCTTAAATGTTTATAAACCCTAGCATCACTCAGCCTACAACTGCCTATGGTGCTGGTTCCTTTGGTGTCATTGCCTCTTTGTAAATTCTTTAACTCTGACCATCTGCCAAAGCCCCAGACTTAACAGGGAGATATCTGGTTCCCACAAGGTTACTTCATCTCTGAGTGATTGCTCACATTTAGGTGGCTGTGTGTCCTGGGAAGTTCACTGTTGCTTGGAGGTAGTCTTAGTTTCTCATCATGTACGATGAAGCAGCAGTAGACAGAATGGATTAGAGCAAGACACATACAAAATGGAGGTAGGGACACCAAGATTTTTCCGGCTTTTAGCTAACTTGAAGGCCCAGTAAGGGATTAGAGCTTTTCTTTTTTTTTTTTTCTTAATTGTGAGAATACCATACAGAGGAGTTACAATTACATGGGGGATTAGAGCTTTTCTGCATCTCTTACAACTCCTTCATGTTTGAACGTTCCTTTTTTTTTTTTTAAGCGGGTAGTGGGGCTTGAACTCCGGGCCTGGGCGCTGTCCCAGAGCTTTTTGTTTTTCTCATGGCTTAGTGCTCTACCACTCGATCCACAGGACCACTTACAGCTTTTTGGGGATTCATTGGAGTCTCATGGCCTGACTTGTCTGGACTGGTTTCAAAGCCAGATCCTCCGCTCTCAGCCTCCTGAGTGAGCCAGGGGTGCTGGATTTAAACGCCTCTGTCTTGAGGGGGTTTGTGTCAGTCTAAGGTACTCTGTGGGCAGGTTTGCTGCGGAGAATGTGGGCTCCCCGAGGAGCAGGCCTGCCTTCGTTGGTTTCACCAATGGCGCAGGCTGTGCACGATCAAGGGCCCTGTTCAGCTTGGCTTGGCTTGGCTACCACTGCATCGCTCTGAACAGGTGCTCAGGTTTGGCAAAAGAGAGGCTGTGGGCAAAAGGGAGGCGGGACAGAACCCGACTGCCCGTGTAAGGGAAACGCGGCTGGGCATCTGCAGTTGAGTCTCAGGGGCTGGGAGCTCAGAGGAAGAAAGGACACCCATTGACAAAACCACAAGAAGTTTAAAAAGAACTCTGTTTAGTTGTACACAGGGGCTTCTTCATCTCTCAGCTTATACAAGTGTCTTGAGCACCGTCACCCATCCCTGGTTCTCCCCACACGGGCGTTCGAAGAGCGTCCGAGGCACCTCCCCGAGGCACCTCCGCGAGCCAGGCCTCACACTCCCACAGGCCGCTGCGCCCGCCGCGGCGGAACAAAGGAAGTGCGGGCCTCAGCCTGCATCGCCGCGCACCGCCCCAGGCCCCGCCCTCGCTCCGCCCGCGTCCTCCCTCTCGCCGGCGCACGTGCGCAGATCGGCGCCTACCGGGGCCGGCGGCGCACCCGCGCGTGACGCACCGCCGCACAGCGGCGCGTGATGACGCAGGGACGTGCGCTCGGAGACTCGTCGGGAAGATGGCGGCTGCTCCTCTGGAGGAACGGGGTTGAGCGGGGAAAGGACCGGGGCCAGGCCGAGGAGACGTTCCCGAACAGCGAAGACGGACGTTTCGCTCGCCGTTAGGAGCCCCGCTCCGCGCCGGACGGTGAGTGCGGCCGCGACGGGGACCCGCGCGCCCGCGGCAGGCGGCTGCGCTCCGCCATTTTCAGGCCCGGCGGTTGCGTGCTTTGGGGGGCCGGCTGGGAGGCCCGATATCCGGAGGCCTATCGAGACGGGCGTGGGCCTCTGTGGAGCGGTCCGGAGCCTGGAGGCCGGCGGAAGGGGAGGACGTGAGCGGCCCGGCCGGGGTCTGCCGGCCGGGTTCGGAGGGGAAGAGGTTTAAACATACAGGGGACGGGGGAGTCGCGGGCCGGGGGCGGAGGGAGGCCGGGGTCCGGAGGCCCGGAGGGGACGGGGGTGCGGTGGCCCGGGCCGGGAGCGGGGTGGACGGGCGCAGAGCGTCTGGGAGCGGCCTGGCTCCGGGGCTCGGGATCGGTGCTTCTCACAGGAGGAGCATCTCCGCTCCCCTGGAGCAGTTGCGCTGCTCCTTTGCTAACTCCGCAAAAAAGCAACAACAACAAAAAAATGCCTTTTACTGACGCGGAAATGAGGACTTGGTAAGACATTCCGAGGCTCGGGTTGGCGGGTGGGGGAGCGGGGTTGCTCGAGTGGCCGCCGAGCGGGCTAGCATTTTTGTGATCAAGTGCGTGTGGGTGCCTAGTTGTAACCTTCGTGGCTACCAGGGTCACCGAACTCCCTAAATCAGATCTACGAGGTTACTTGTAGAAACACGTCAGAGTTTTTTTTTCTTCTTATTTTGTTGGGAGACAAGGTCTCAAAAGGTGTTGCTCCAGCCGTCTTGTAACTTGGGCTCTTTCCAGGTACAGAGACTACAATGTAGTCTATCTAACGCACTAGATAAGAGCGCTTTTAAGTAGTCTTCTACATAGAAATGAAGTTAACTGTGTAAGAACTTTGGAAGACAGTATATGAGCAAGACGCTGGTGTTGACCGGCACATCTCTTGGGAGCACAGCTTTTAAGCACACTCCGCAGATTGAATGCACACAGAACTTTCTTTGTCTTTGAAAGTGGCGCAGTGGTAGATCTAACTCAGACAAAAGGTGTAGTGACTGTTAAAAGAAAACATGTTAATTGTTTCCTTTGTGGTATTTTCCTTTTATTTATTTGGCCAGTCGTGGGGCTTTGAACTCGGGGTCTGGGCACTGCCCTTGAGTTTCTTTTGGTCAAGGCTAACACTCTTACCACTTGAGCCACAGCACCACTTCCAACTTTTTCTGTTCATGGGGTACTGAGGAATCGAATCCAGGGCTTCATGCATTCTAGAAAAGCACTGAGCCATATTCCCAGCCCCTCCTTTTTTTTGGGGGGGGGTCCGGTCGTGGTGCCTGAACTCTGGGCCTGGACACTGTCCCTCAGCTCTTCAGCTCAAGGCTAGCACTCTACCACTTGAGCCACAGCGCCACTTCCGGTTTTTTCTTTTTGCTTATGTGGTGCTGAGGAATCGAACCCAGGGCCTCAGGCATGCAAGGCAAGCGCTCTACCACTGAGCCACCTTCCCAGCCCCCCTCCTTTTGTTTTTATTTTTATTTTTTGGTGCTGGGGCATGAATTCAGGGCTTGAGTGCTGTCTCTTAGGTTTTTGCTCAAGGCTGGCGCTCTACCACTTGAGCCACTCCACTTTGGCTCTTTGCTGGATAATTGGCAGTAAGAGTGTCACAGACTTCTGTTCTGGCTTGGAATAAGGATCCACAGAGCTCAGCCTCCTTAGTAGGACTGCATGTGTGAGCCACCAGCTCCCACCATCTTAATTTTAATTGTATTTGATGCTCAACTTTTATTACTAAAAATTTGTGGAGTGAGTGTGTGTGTGCGTGCGCGTGTGTGCGTGCGCGTGTGTGCGTGCGCCCTACTGGGGTTTGAATTCAGGGCCACATAATCACTGGGCTGGTTCTCTACCACTTGAGAAACACCTCCAACCCTGTTTTTGCTTATTATTTTGGAGAGAGGGGGGGTCTCATTGACTTTTCTCCTAGGGCTGGCTTGGAACATTTGTCCTTTTTTTTTTGTGGCCAGTCCTTGGGCTTGAACTCAGGACCAGGGCACTGTCTCTGAGCTTTGTTGCTCAAGGCTAATGTTCTACCACTTTGGCCCACAGTTCCAGCTTCCAGTTTTCTGGTAGGTTAATTGGAGACAAGATTCTCAGGGACTTTCCTGCCTGGGGTGGCTTTGAACTGTGGTCCTCAGATTTCAGCCTCCTGGGTTGCTAGGATTACAGGCATGAGCCACCAGCACCTGGCTGTACTTTTACACTTTTGTATTCCTAAAACCTAGGCATACAGATTGAAGAATGAATGATGTTCTTATAAATTTCTAGCTTCTACTTAAGTTTGTATTCACACTGACCAGGTTTATTCCACTCTTTAGCTTTCCCTTGTGATCTTCCCTGGACTTTCTTCTTCCTTTCAGGCCACACATTTATATCCTGTTAACTCCTCAAAATCCAGCTAAATCTCATCCCATTGATAAAGTCCTCAATGATTGTTCTATCTCTGTTCTGTGCTGTACTGTTCTGTTCTCAGGCTTACAACTTAGGACCTCTAGGTCTGGCTCTGCTTTTTTTTTCTCATGGCTAGCACTGTACCACTCAAACCATGCCTCCAGCGTGTCTTTTTTTTAATTTTATTTTATTTTTTATTTTTAGGGTCCGGTTGGGCCTGAACTCTGGGCCTGGGTGCTGTCCCTCAGCTCTTCAGCTCAAGGCTAGCGCTCTACCACATGAGGGGCAGCGCCACTTCCGGCTTTTTTCTTTTTGCTTATGTGGAGCTGAGGAATTGAACCCAGGGCCTCATGCATGCAAGGCAAGTGCTCTACCACTGAGCCACCTTCCCAGCCCCCAGCTTGTCTTTTATTTATAACTTGTCTCTATTCAATCTAGGATCTGTGCAGCCGTCTTTTCTGTTACTTCATGTCCCATAGTACATAGCATTGTGAGTGGGTTGATGAAGTTTAAAACTGCCTTTAGCTGAGATTGTTATAAGACTCCTGCTCTTCTCTGTTTGCCTGCATCATTTACTAGACTACTGTAGCAATTGTTTTTTGTTTTCCTTTGTATGTTGGTGTTGGATTTTTTTGGGGGGGCAGTTGTGGGGCTTGGAAACAGGGCCTGGGTGCTGCTATCCCTGAGCTCTCGCTTAAGGCTAACACTCTCTACCTCAGCACAGCTCCACTTCCCATTTTCTGGTGGTTAAGAGTCTCACAGGAACTTTTCTGCCAAGGTTGACTTTGAACCATAATCCTCAGCCTCCTGAATAGCTAGGATTACAGGCATGAGCACCTGGCTGTACGTTGGATTTTTATCATAACTTACTTTTTTTTTTTTTGTCAGTTGTGTGGCTTGAACCCTGGGCCTGGGTGTTGTCCCTGAGCTCATCAGTGCACTCTACCACTTGAGCCACAGCACCACTTTTGATTTTCTGGTAGTTAATTGGAGATGAGTCTCACGGAGTTTCCTGCCCCAGCTTTGAACCATGATCCTCAGATCTCAGCCTCCTGAGTAGCTAGGATTACAGGCGTTAACTACAGGTACCCAGCTCTCTCTCTATTTTTTTTTTTTTTGTCAGTCATGGGGCCTGAACTCTGGGCCTGGGCGCTGTCCCTCAACTCTTTAGCTCAAGGCTAGCGCTCTACCACTTGAGCCACAGCACCACTTCGGCTTTTTCTGCTTATGTGGTGCTGAGGAATGGAACCCAGGGCGTCATGCATGCAAGGCAAGCACTCTACCACTGAGCCACCTTCCCAGCCCCTGTGTGTGTGTGTACACATGTGTGTGTGTGTGTGTGTGTACGTGTGTGTGTGCCAGTCCTGAGTCTGAGCTTAGGGGATGGGTGCTGTTCCTGAGCTTTTTTGTTGCTCAAAGCTAGTTCTCTACCACTTGATCCATAGCTCTACTTCTGGCTGGTTTTGGTGGTTAATTGAAGATAAGAGTCTCATGGACTTCCTTGCATGGGCTGGCTTTGAACACTTGCCTTCACATCTCAGCCTCCTAAATCCATGGGATTACAGACTTGAGCCACTGGTACTTGGCAGCCCTTGATTGAGTTTTTTTTTTTTTTTTTTTGCTTGAGGCTAGTGCTTTGCTACTTGAGCCACAGCTCTATTTTCAGCTTTTGGGGGTTAATTGGAGATAAGAGTCAAAGACTTGCCCTGGTAGCTAGGATTACAAGAGTGAGCCATGGGTGCCTACTTAAGAAAATGGTACTTACTGCCAAAATTTGGGTACTAAGCTGGGTATAGTGGCATGTATCTGTAATCATATCAACTAGTGAGGGAAGTCTTTGCTTCTAGGCCTTTTCTGGTAGTCAGAGTTAGTTCAGAACATGCTTAATAGTAGTTCAGAACATGCTTAATAGTAGTGTTATAAATGCCAAATAGTTATTTTAGGAATTACCTACACAGAAAATGGAAATGTTCAATAAGTTCCAAGTATACTTGAATTTTCATGTCTTTTTCTTTTTAGTTTTTAAAATTATTATAAAGGTGATGTACAGAGGGGTTGCAGTTACGTAAGTCAGGTAAAGCGTACTTTTGTTGTTGTTGTTGGTTATGGGGCTTGAACTCTGAGCCTGGGTGCTGTTCCTGAGCTCTACAGCTCAAGGCAAATGCTCTATCACTTGAGACCACCAAGTCTGTTTTTCTGGTGGTTGGAGATGAGTCTCAGGGACTTTCCTGCCTGGGTGTGCTTTGAATCGTGATCCTCAGATTTCAGCCTGAGTAGCTAGTTACAGGCATGAGCCACCAGTGCCTGGCTTAAAGAGCACATTTCTTTTTTTCTTTTTCTTTTTTATGCTGGTTGTGGAGCCTGAACTCTGGGCCGGGGTGCTGTCCCTCAGCTCTTTCAGCTCAAGGCTAGTGCTCTACCAATAGAGCCACAGCACCACTTCTGGCTTTTTCTGCTTTGCATGGTGCTGAAGAATCGAACCCAGGGCCTTCTGCATGCAAGGCAAGCACTCTACCACTGAGCCACCTTCCCAGCCCAAGTGCCCATGTCTTTTTGGACAGTGTTACCCCTTCCTTGCTCTCTTCCA